TGGTAACAACCACTAACATTACTCAATATGTCTTTAGAGTTGACCCCAACATGACACTGTTTCTGCAAGAACTACTTGGCTTGGGCATAAAACTCACACATTTAGGGGCATACATGACTGAACCCAACTTAGGCAAAAAATATGATTATAAAAATAAAGCATTGATAAATGTGTTCATTAGATTAAACGGCTTTAAGCCATTTAGAGTAGAATACTTTTTTTCTTAAATTATCATAAATATATTTAAAGATTATAACAAATATGGTTGAATAGTCTTCATATCACCTATGGAATTATTACATCTTTGTCTTGTACTATGAATTAAAAAAAAAACAACAATGCACAATGTTGTTGTGAATGTTTTTTTACAAAGTCTAGTAAATTGCATTATTAGAAATATTTTGTGAGATCTCTTGTTACTTAAATTGGTTCTTTGTCCTGTTTAAAAAAATATAAAAGTCAGCAGCTACAGTATTTACTTTTAATAAAAGGACACTCACCTGCCCAAAAGTCCATCTTCACCCAAACTTTCTTCAGATCCCCGGTGCTGGCATGTTTACTGTGGGCAGCTTGCTGTGATTCTTTGCGGCTTCATAGCCAGCTGCCCACTGTTCATGCACAAGCCACACTACTCTTTATGAATGGTCATGCAATCTTCTGGGACCTGTGATGTGTCCCAGAAGGTTTCAAGTGGAGGGGAGGACATCTTCTGGTGGATCACCACAGCAAACCAGCTGGAAGTGGAAGCAGGTACTTGTCAAAGCCAGGTACCCACTCCCCCTTCCCCAAAAAAGTAGAAGAGGAAGGGGGGGAAGGAATTCATAAAGTGGAACTCCCCCTTTAAATTTCTACTTTAGAGTAACCCTGGCATCAGTTTTTAAATCATCCAAAATAAATACTCTGCAAAAAAAGAGTGTAAATACTTATATCCCCTTCTATCTGTGCTGCTGAATACTGCTCTGATCTTGCTCCTCAAGGTCTCTTGGGAGAACAACACTTTTAGACAATGTTGATCTCCTGGGTCCTACGCAGCTTTCCATGGTTTCTGACACTAACCTTCACAATACTACTGTACCGTGTAAAGATGTAAACGTCACTAAGAGGAATGAATAAGAGCTGCAAGGAACCCAAAAGATCAACATCCTCAGAAGCGTTGGTTTCCTTGCGTACTTTAGGAGACCATTTCTAACAATTGACAGGGATGAGCTGAACTACCATGGGTTCATTTTGAGCAGGGTTCAAAGAACTTCATAGAGGAGCAGATGCCAAACCATAAGGCCACTGAAATCAATAAGCTGAATCTGTCAAATTAAAAATGCCAATTTTCTGGGCTAACAGGCAAGGGGTTGTCATAAAGCCAGGAGCAGTGATTTTAAATGCTTAAATTAAACATTATAAAATGTCCATTACCATTAACTGACGTGCCTGGGGTGCCCTAATCCTGCCAGTGAAGGGACACTTTAATATACATAAAGTGCTGCAGCAGCTCTAACTTTTACTATAGAAACATTTTTTAAATTGCCAGCAAATGCCATTTCATTGCCAACATCTATTAAAAAAAAAATAAAAAACAGCACACAGACCCTTCCATGGGTCTGTTATGTATTTTGGTGGACCTTTGGAGGGATCTGTGCGTTCTATGTAATTTTCTAGTAATTTAAACAATATAATTTTTTTCTTTGTTAGTGTTACTTTTGCTGTAGCACATCCTACAGTAAGAATGAAAAAAAAAAGAGTAAACGAATAGATTGGACAGAATCATCTTTTTTTTCTTTCATTATTGATGTGGATCTACATCTTTGGATGTGATTGACAGTGGATGTAAATTGTGGGACTTTTTTTAGTAAAGGTATTTATTATGTTTTTTTTTTTTTTGTTTACATTTTTTTGCGAATGAGTATAGATACTGTGTACAGTATCAGATCAGACCCAAAAAGATTGGTAAAAAACTGGGGGGAACCTCATGCCATTTTTTCTGTTGTTTTTGCATGGGATACTCCCTAAAATTTATAACAAACCTAAAGGGCCTGCTATGAATTGAGGGGTTTTTATAAACTATCCACCCCTTGGTTACATGGCTTGGTATACCTGGCCATGTAAGTAAATGGGGCCCGTGACATCAGTGGTTATTAAAGGCCTGGCAGTGAATGCACCTGCTGGCATCCTTAACCATTCACAGAAAGCTGTCAAGCGTAATAGCGGAAGTAATACCAATATTGTGCATGACATTTGACTCCTATCAAATGAAAAAATTCTTGGGCGTTCATCTGAATAACAGAACATTCAAAGTTTGATCCAAACTTCTGTTCAGACTAAACCTTAAGCTTATACCTACTGAAAGATATTGAGCAGAATTTCAGCAGGAAAGGTACATTTTTACAGTCTACTTTTGCAGGTTATTTGTTTTGATTTGGAAACTGATGATAGGGTTGTTTTAAAGGAAACCTGTACTGATGAAGTATGGAGGTTGCCATTCCTTATCTCGTCTACTAAAAATGTTATTATCCCAGCAATCTTTCCTAATCAGTGAATTCGGTATGATTAGTCATTCATCTAGAACCTGTATGAAGATCAGGGGTTCTGACTTCAGTCTAAGATTCCTGAACTGAATGTTTATCAGTGTCTCAGCAATAATGAAGCCATTGGATCAGCATGACAGCTGGACCACTAGCATTTTCAGAATTGGACAACTACATTGGATAATGTATTTCTCCCAGTACAGATTTCCTATAAAAGCATGTGGGGTTTTTTGTGTGTTACATTTGGTGTTACAGTTGTTGAATAAGCCTTGTAAATCAATAACTTGACAACTAATAATGTCTTTCTCATTTCTTGTGAGTCGGACCTTTAAGGAAAAGTGCAAGTAGGGATGATTTCAAAAGGTATTCATATACTGAGCATTGCAATTTCATGTATTAACCATGTACAGTTTGCAGAGTAAAGTATTTGTATAATTTTTATGGTCTTTCATGACAAAGATTGTATTAGAGAAAAAAACACAAAGGACATTGGCTTGCTTTCTGAAATAGTAATATGTTATCCACAAACACTAAAACATTAAGAATATTTGGATATTAATTGAATCTGTCTCTGAAAAACTATGATGTGGGCAAAATAGTCCTTATTTAACATACATTAAGAAAATGGATCTGTATTACTAAAGAGCAAACCCACATGTAAATTGCTAATGAAGGGATGCTTTACTTCAAAAGGTTTAGTAGAGTCACAGGGTATATAAACCTATCTGCAAAAAACAGGTCCTGCATAATTTTGACAGAAGATTAAAACAGCATCAGCACCCCAGTGTACTGCTAAGCAAGTTGACCTGATGGCCTGGTTCTAGATCTGTGAATTACCTGCCTTTTTATAGCTAAAGTAAGATACATTTTCCAGACTTTCAAACCTCTGTCCTCCCTCCCTAAAACCTGCCAGTCTGAGTGTTGGATTATTTCAAAGTGTGCAGCATGTGAAATCCTAGACAAATCAAATGAGGTAGAGGTGATTTCCCAACACTAAATGAAATAAATACATAATTTAAATTACAGATACAACTGTTGCATGATAGCAGGCAAGTTTCCCATATTGCACAGCTACCTTTTGCATTAGTCTGTATACGTACATAAGAACAAGGTTCTTCCCATCACTTCCCACCTTTTGCTGCCTGTGGCTGGCAAGTTGATAGTAAGACACACACATGGGTGGCTGAGCAATGTATGCCCTCTACTATAATGGTACAACCAATTAGATTGTGCATTAGGATGAATCCAGATTAAACTGTGGTGTATACCGTATATAACACTTTTACAAAATAGAAATGTGAAAAGAGTGAAAATGTTCTTATATGACATCCTTAACCATTGTTTATTGCTATAGGAAAGTTATTATAATCTAAAATATGCCAATTCACTGTTTTATTTGGTGGTTCATAGAACACTAACTGTGGTTCATAGGGAGAAATTAAGTGGAGGGGAAAATTTCACATCCTCCAGTTAGCATCTAAGTTAATGAAGAAAACCTGCACTCCAATGCTTAATTTCTTCATGTAATACAGTGCAAAAAAATTCCCTGCGGACCTTCTTCTTTAACTGCAACAGAACAAATTGCAGAAGCAGGGAGGCTAGTGTAGGGCTTAGCTGTTGGCTGAGTTCTCCCAAAGAATCACGGACGTTGGCAATACCCTAGCATACGCTGTTAACACAACAAATCTCACTAAACACCAAATCCTTCTTTAAAAATGATTGAAAAGTTTACCAGCCTTTACAACACTCATATATATTAGGATATATGTTAAAGTTTTGTTGAATTTTCATTTCATTACATCTATATACTGGCAAGTAAGAGATATTACATTTGCCATTATACATACAACAAAATAACACAAAAGCACGGTATAATGTCTCCGTAACTTTTAAGGCACACTTCCCTAAAATGTTTTCCACCCAGATTAATAGACAAATGCAGCTATAGTGTTTGTACATTGATAGCAAACAACTGAAATCATGCAATGTCTCCATAATACAATGCAAAATACTCTTGTGCAGGTTACTGTACATTACTATATAGATACATTATATATGAAAAATCTAATAAAATAGGTATAAAAGTAACATTTATAATAAATAGCACTAATATACCATAGCTATTTTAAGTGGACTAACCAAGTGTCAGAGTATAAAAGAGTGTAACATTCACAGTTTTGGGTGAGAAATATATTTGTTGTTCTCTGCACCAAAAAACACAGTTATCCCTATGAGTGAATCACGGTAGAATGGACATGTAAAACAATATGGCAATAACTACCAAAATGTATGGTATTCACTAACACAAACTTTCTGAAATAGGAAAGTCCCTATGCAATAATGCTGATCACAGTTGTGAAAATACAAATGCTGAAGTGCTGAGTGATGATGAGTAAGTCTTATGCAATGGATTTGTGCTTGTTTTGGACATAGACTTCCAACACAGTAACTGCCATTGATCAGGCAATTGGTTCTCCATTTTTATGCTATTGGGCTTGCTTGCTTCAAAGATGTTTTAGAAACATCAGTGTGCATGGTAGACATCGCTATAGTTTCATAGTCATCTTCTCTAGATCTAAAATCACAAAAATTAAAGAAGAACTGTAGGTCCCGCTGAAAGTTTTTGTTGAGAAAACCATAAAAAAATTGGATTAACACATGTTGAGATCATTGCTGTTAGATGGCAAATCAAAAATAACAAGTTATGGTGGCATGTGGCAACAGCCTCATGGTTCCAGTCAAACACCAAGTTAAAGATGAAGAATGGCAGCCAGCACAGAGCAAATCCAACCACAATGGACAAAAGCATGATATTGATTCTCTTTGTTTCACTGGATCTGTATTTATTGTCTCTCATCTTATCCATCATGCTGTTCCTTCGTTTTAATCTGAGGAATATCTGAAAGATTTACAAATGATTAGTACATTTTACTTTTGTATAAACAGCATATTGTATATATGCTATTATGAAAATTGAATTATCCATCTCACTGTCACACACTCTCCAACAATACAATAGTTCCAGTAGAAAATTTTTGTACTCCATAGTGGCATTGCTAAAGCGGTTTTCATAATCCTCTTAAAAGTTAATGCTGTTTTAAGGCCCCATTTGGCTGTTTTAATTTTTGATGGTACTCCTTATAACTAAAATGTTTTAAGATGGAATTGTCAGAGACAGGGGATAAAATACTTGTATGTTAGAGATCACTGCCTATACAGCTTGCAAATCAATGCTCCCATAAACAGTATGTGTTCCCTACTGAATCCTAAAAAATGAAATGTGCCTTGATGATATTCCTATTAACAAGATGTATTATAAAAAGTGAGATGGGGAAAAAGCATACACCTGAAGCATGTAGTAGTGGCCCAAGATCTTAAGCTGCTTTCTGAGGTGGATATCTGGAGGTAGTTGGGATAAAAAGAATTTTCTTGCTGAAGAGTGTCGCAAAGAAGATGGTAAAAGCTACTTCTGGTAATTGCAAGAAAGATTCATAGCTCATCAATCAAGGTATCACTGGAGCTGGTGGTGCTGGGTGTGAGAACAGGCACAATACAGGATTAAAACTATGATGAGTGCTGAGCAAATCAGGGTTAGGGGAAACTAGTCTAAAACTGTGCTGCTTATTGACAAAGGGATCTAACAATTTGAGTATAAGCTATGGGCAACTCTAGTCTTCCGTAAGTGGTAATGCTACCCAGTGCACATCCTGCTCCATGTATGTGCTCCTAAGCAACCATTCAAAGGAAAATACTGTTATATGAGATGTAAAGAATCAGCTGACAACACTGCAGACCATTAGCAACCTGGAGTGGAGTTTGGACCTTACCCATCAGGTGCTGGCAGGGGCCAGTGTAGAGGGGGGTGGAAAAAAAGAGGTGCAGGGTCCAAATGCTCACAGGAATGGCTTGTGAATATCCAAGAGTACAGTCAGATCTGGGGGGACCGGGTTGAAAGAAAAGTTGCAGTGGTGTGCCTGTATATCAATCTGAATGTGAGTAAGAGAGAGGATATTTACAACTAGTATTGTAACGGAGCACAGCCTTTATGGTTGCAGTTTACATAAATGTAACAAATATTAATTATGGGAGTATGCTATAGGCTCCCCAGAATTAAGAAGGAGGAAGATATCCTTAGTCTCTTGTCTCAAATAAAAATATTGGGGAAACAGGGTAATGGTGTTATTAAGTGGGACTTTAATTATCCAGGTATTGATTGGACAAATAGTAGTTTAAACTCAACTAAGTCCTACCGACTTGAACATATTGCGGGACAATTTCATGAGTTATATGGTAGAAGCCCCAACTGGAAAAAAAATGCTCCATTAGATCTATTAGTTTCAAATAATACAATTATAGTTGTGCAAATTAGGGACAACTCTGGGAATGTGAGTGGTGTGCCCCAGGGTTCTGTCTTGAGGCCAGCACTGTTAACCTGTTTAAAAATTACATTGTGTTTAAAAATTACATTGAAGTTGGAATCAGGAGTTCATTTTAGGAATTTGCAGATTATATCAAGTTATGCAAGGAAAAAAAGTTCAGCACAGGACTTAGCCATATTACAGGAAGGCCATTATAAAATAGGGGGGTGGGCACCTATTTTGCAAGTAAGGCTCAATATTGAAAAAAATGAGGTTATGGATTTGAGTGCTAAAATTTGCATGAAAATTACTCATTACCAAGTGTTATACTGGGGGAATTAAGAATGGAAAAATATTTGGGGTCCCTTGTAGACCACAGACTTAGCATTAGCATGCAAAGCTAGGTCATAGCCAACAAAGTGAGCAGAAATATCTCATGCATTTAAACGGTATTTATTCAAGAAGGGGTACATCAATACTTTTACCCCTTTACAGAGCACTGGCTTAGCTTCATTTTGAGTATGCACTACCTTTATGGTTACCAATCAACAAGAAAAATATAATTGAATTAAAAAGAGTTCAGAGAAAGGTTTCAAAGGTTTCAGAATTCATAAGGAGGCTGGAGGACCTCAGCTATGAAGAACAATTACATAAATTACACAGTTATTTTCCTAAAGCTGGCTGAAAAAAACAGCAAGTGGATTCCTCATTCCACACAATTGAGGTGGATAGATTAAGTTCAGCAATAAAAGGTAAATAAATTGATGTGACCGGCATCCAACTTATTTTTCACCCCCATACACCAAGGACCAGACCTCGAGATATAAATGTTAGCATGCCAACCAGAGAGCAGGAGTGCTGCATAAAGAAATATTGAAATCTCATAGACATGTTTGCATATGTTGTCTGTAAAGGTGTGGATTTATCCAGTTCATGGTGAAGCTAATAGTGGTTTGTCACACTCAATTGGACCTATTTTGTAAAAGTAAATAGATTTCACTACTTCTGCAAGTGGCTACCCCAGTTCAAATGAGTGTCTTAAACATACCCATACCCAGCATTCATATCTTTATTGGCAACTCAGTCAATGTAATTCAATCACCACAATATCATGACACCAAGTGCCATTAAATGAACCATGGAAATTGTTGATTGCCCAAAAACATGACTGGAGGTATTTAAAATTATAAAACTTCCTTGTTGTACTTAACATAATCTAACTGCCATGCTGCCAGCTATTTATGTTAAGAGTTCAGGAAACCATTAGCAGTTTGGTAGTATAATAGAAAATAGAAAAAAAAAACTAATAAATTAAAACTAAATATATTTAGGGCTGATTCACACCAGACGCTATCCAGTGTATTTTTACCTACATCAAAACTGCATACACAGTGTTTTCCATGTATTTCAATTGCCCTAGTTCACACCAAGTGTGGTCGCTTCCAGTACAGTCAACAAAAATAGTACCTGGTACATTATTTTCATCTTCAACACAGCAAAGTGCATCTAAATGCACCAGAAAGCACAAAGATGCACATTTTCCTGAAATAAAATACGATTTTTCAAGTGTCAGAACAAAAACAATAAGAAAAAAACGCACTGGAACGCATTATAAAGTGTATCAAAAAGGCATAAAAAAACATGTGTGAACATGTATGCAAAAATTCATCCAGAAATCAGAAGTTGTGGCGTGAACCAACTCCTAGGGCTCTGTGTTCTGTACACGTTTCCTGCACCACATTCAAAATGCACTGGGTGTGCAATCTGCTGCAGGTATCAATTTACTCCTAACGATACCCCCAAACAAAGACCACAAACACTGCATTTGCGTGCACCAGCTTGCATGATACCACAGTACCATGTGATCCAGTGCAGTGTGTTTTTGAAATGTGGTTCATGCACCACTTTTGGTGTGATCCAGTGGATTTTAAGAGCATTCAAATGATTGTCACACAGGAATAGCGGAATGTGTTCCTGTGCAATTCAGGTGTGAACCAGCTCTTAGAGGATGTAATACATAAACTAGAAAAAAATAGAAGTATGTGTTTTAGCTTCTATAATATCTGAATATCTATAATAATATGAAATAGAAGAGTTAACATTTTACCTTAGTATAGCATACGAAAATAAAGCATAGCGGTGCAAAGGTACTGTACAACAAACAACAATGTTGTGTATGTGAGTCTGAATTTTTCGTCTGGAAATTCTGGAAGGCACACGTATTTTCCAATATATAAATCAATGGTTAAATTCTTGAATGGTTCATCTGTTAAGGAACTGTACATCATGAATGGCAAAGAAGCAGCCATGGCTACCATCCATATTGCTGTGATTCCAACACAAGCATGTCTGTTGTTAGGTCTCCAACCACGAGGATTTATAATCAGCTGATGGCGCTCAACAGCAATGAGAACCAGTGAGAAAATAGAGACTGTCACTGAGACACACTGTATATATTCATTTAGTTTACACATACCCACTCCAAAAATCCAATGATCCATCAGGGTGTAAACTAAAGTAAACGGGAGACACATTATTGTTGCCAGTAGATCAGAAAATGACAAATTTACAATGAGGATATTAGTGACATTGCGCATTTCCTTTTGTCTTAGAATAATGATGATGAGAGCCAAATTTCCAGAGAGTCCAAGTATCATAACAATTCCATAGGCCAATGATAAAGTAAACACAACTGCTAGTGGCAATGCACATTCTTCATCTAAATGCAGCATTCTAGACATGTTGTCATTAATAGACTGATTACTTAAATCTGTTGAAAAATTCATCTTGTCGTGCTTGTCCATGAATTAACCCTCTAGTAAGGAAATTAAGACACTTCAATGAAGCAAATCAATTGTGTTATTAGCTTCCATTCTGTAAATGATAACCAAGAGCTCTTCTAAACTTCATCACTGAAAAATCTGTAGGGGTCAAACACAAATAATCAGTTAAATTTTTACATCAAATAGTCCTAATAAAAAGCAAGTCAATAATACAAAATTTTAAGAAGCATTCAAGTTGTCATCAACTTGAACTCCATTTTTCCCAGTTTGAATAGAGTAGGGAAGGCTACAACCTTATTAGGTTCTCATACAGTAATTGTTTTGGTGAGACAAGAGCAGGAAGAACATGAAAATCTGTGTAAAGTTAGGGAAAATACCACCTCTAACAACTTTTACAAGTACAGGTCACCTCATTTCCTTTTACCTCCTGCTCATGGAACAACAGTTACATTTGTATTTCTTATCTTTTATTGTCTTGGTGATAAAAAAAACATCAGGAAATATAGTGAGAGAGAATCTGCTATAGAAAGATAGACAGCAGAAGTCCTAACCTTTCCCCATTGTACTGAAAATTGAAAAAAAAAAACTATAGCTGGAATTTAGGTTTGACTTGTGCTACTTCTGCACTGTTTGCTCCTTTAGTCATTTGAAAATGTCACTATGCCTTTTTTTGAACCTGGTTACACAACACTGCTAAATCACTGCTGAAGCTCATATATGTATTAGTTTTTAGAGCAAATGCTGTATCTCCAAAATCAGTATTTCTATACCAAATGTAGATCATTGAAATCAAGGGATTTCATATTTCTGAAAATAGCTTACTGGACTACAGTATAAACACATATGATATAATGTAAATTAATAATTAAACATCAATCTGAGCCATAATAGGCCTCAACTTTTTCTCTCTAGTAAATAAAATATGTTTAAGTTATACTATATTATTCATTACTTAGATTACCATGGTGAATATGCAGGGTAAAAAACATGATAATACCATTGAAAAAAAAACCTAGCTTGTAGGTCACTTTTTTTTTAAAGTCAGATTTTAAAAAGAACCAGTTTACTTAAAAAATAACTAATTGACAAAGCTTAAAAAAAACACCCAAAAACCCAAAAATATAAATAATTGCTGGCAAACAAATATGGAAAGTTAGCAAGACAAGCTTTTCAAATTACTGCAGCTTGAATAGCAACAAGACTACCCTACAAGGAAGCTTGGCTGGTGCAACCAATTAATAAACAAAATGAAATAGTGTGCAAGAGTGTGTGCGGGAGGTGTAGAATTTGGACTTTAATTAGTTAAACTTAGATAAACTATGTTGACCGAAAAATGCAACATTATCCACATTAAAATACTATTCATAGATCCAGGTTGTATGCATTTATGAGCAACAGCATCAAATAAACTCAAAAGCACAAAAAAAGCTGATTATGGTTTTAGTGGATTTCCCGCTCAAAAAATTCCTATTCCTATTCAATAAAGTTAAGAGGAAACTACAGATACGCAATGCACTTATGCTAGTTGCTTGGCTGTGTCTAATTTAAAGTATATATAAATTAATTCACAAAAAATCTCATATAAATTTTAATATTTTAAATATAATTTCAAAAGTAACTTCCAATAATTTTCAAACTGCATATTTATCAAAGTAATACCTAGTGATCCTACGATGAAAGCCCTTGTGCAGGTTCATTCTGTTAGAGGGGGACAACTCTACATTTGTTTTTAAATTGTTTTCATGTGTTGTCATCCTGTCACAGAGATCACTTAGGAAATCTACAAGTGGCTTTTTCAATGCACATGATGCACATGGCCTACTGTCACCATAAGAAAAACTGCCCTGAGTGTCAGGGATACCAAATCTGTGGGCTGCGCCTTAAGGAATCAGGAATCAAACTGAATAAGCTTCAAATACCTTTATTAAGAGAAAAATGACACACTTCCAACACCAACACCAGTAAACCATCAACAATGCAAGTGATAAATAAATGTGACAGTGCAAATCAAACCTAACTTACTATATACAAATGGAGGGAACACACATGAACAAGATAAAGTCAGGACGGGGACTGGAGAGAAGGGGGGCAGGGAGCCAGGTACTGGGAACATGAAGCAGGATAAAGGGAGCAGATCAGGGGAGCTGGTCTCAGGGTAAGGCACAAGGGTCAGGCAGGGACACAGCTTACAGGAAGAATACTGAAGCACTAATCTTCAGTCAAGGGCAGGCTTACATACCTACCAGCAGAGAATGTCAGGTGCAGCCTAAATACTTGGACAGCCCAGCTGCTGGGAGATACATGCTGGAGACCACCGGAATTGTACCCTTTTACTCTGGAAATAACACTGCCACCAGCAGGTAACCCAGGTAATGACACAATTCCTGACACTGTGAGACATGTCATGCAGTCATCACTAGAGTAGACTACAGGACATCATCAGCAAAGGGGGGAAAAAAACTTGAGGCATGTTTTTTGGGGGTAAAACATGGTAATTATTTATGACACACAATGCTTTAGCATGCTTAATGTAATTCAGTTAGGGATTTTATCATATATGTTTTATATTCTAATATACATTTTACATACAGTATACTTTAAATGAGTATCAGAAAAGTGTCAGGATTCCTTATCTTTATATTTGTTCCAGGTCAGCAACTTAGACATAATGGAATCCAAAGCCTCAGCATCTAGCATTATCAAAATAAATGGCTAACAGCATCCACAATCACCCATGACAGAGTCAGTTTCAATTTATATTCTTCCAGTAATTCTTGAACCCTGTCATGCTAAGACTTAGGTGAGAATTATGTATATCTACAACAAAGACTTAAACCATAAAATCTTATTATAATGCTAAATATTGTATTTTTATAGGGCCCATAGTTAAGATGTCATGGAAGACTCTTGTGCTTGTTCCTTTTCCATCTGATGGTTTGGCACATGGTAATCATCGGTCGTGACCTTTAGGATTTAGCTGTCTAGAAACTCTGTATCTATCGAAAATCCATTCCAGGTAAGCCCTCTGGAGTCTGGATGATGATATTATATATTAGAAAATATGTGTTCAGCTCACTGATATTTTTCTTTTGCTCTTTTTATACAGTATTGTAGGAATTATGTTTTACCCCTGAAGAAGAAAAAAAAATGATTGAAACAGATTGAGTTATTCAGTGCTCTCATTAAAATGGATATGCTTTAAAAAAAAGTTGTTCATGTTATTTCTGTTTTAAATATAAATTATGTTTTTTTTTTTATCTGTGTTTACATATGACTTATGAAGCCTTGTAAATCCCAAGTACTTGTCACTAGTCTTTGTGTGGATGGATGAATCGCTTTTTCAGCCAGCTGGCTAAATGAGAAAAAAAACAGTGCTTTAGCCAGTAGTCCAAGGTATAGCTCAAAAGATTCAAGGATCATCTGTGATATTTTCACAAGAAGTGTGGAGCAGATTGTGACCCCCCCCCCCCTTTCCATCTATAGTGGTAATGTTTCCAAATTTCACAAAGTGAAGTCAGATACGATTAAGATAAAGTTAGGTTGTAATTTTACAAAGGAAATGATGATGTTTTTTATATAGTAGTTAAAATAGTGGCTCATAACAGTGTATACCAGGATGTCAGGACCCCAAGGTAAAATGAGGGTAAGCCTTCTTTTCAAGGCTACATAGTTCTTAATAGTTGTGACAACACACCCCTTTTAATAAAGTTAAGTGGCATCCCTCTGCATCGTATTACAAGCCTAACATGTATATAAATAAGTGTCAAGAAAAAAAATTCAATTGTTTCCCGCACATTATATTTTTGGAGTACATCCTTTGCACTGTCAAGTTCTACTGCAGTAATAAGGGAAATAAGTATGGCAAAAATTCCACCTATCAGTATTACAGTGTTGTATCATGTTAATCATTGATTAAATTAGACATGGAAATTTTGAGTATATAATTTATTTGCTAGCTCAGGTTCTCAAGGATGAAAGTGTTTGAAATTCATTATGTTTTTTTCAATAGGTATTATACCTACTATTCCATATACCAACTGATGGAGAGATCTAATGTGGTTCAAGTGCAGCTTCAAAAACTTGAGTAATAACTTTACACAAGGAATAAATGAATCATGGAATAAGGAATGTATCAGAAGTGGACAGTGTGCTTACTTCTCTTACTGATGAACATTTTGGTGTATTTTTGTGTTATTTGCTTTAATGGTTATTGTTTTTGCTTTTATTGCTAAAAATAACCATTAATGCAAGAGCATTATTTAGTTATTTTGTTAACTGCCCCTTGTGTCATGGCATATTATTTTTTTATAAACTATTGCTAGATTGTGAAAAAATAGAATGAAACCCTCCATACTACGATAGCATCACATGGATTCCAATTTATTGAAGCAAACAATCACTATGAACCTTTGAGACCTCCCTGTCTTTATGAGTAAGCCCTTTTGGGTGAGGGGGAAGTTCAAAAGATGGGAACTTCATAGTGCATTTGATGTACAGGGAGTTTTTTTCTGTTTGTTTATGTGTTGAAGCATGCACAGTTCCCTGATTCACCCAATGCAGAGACCAGAGCAGGAGTAACTAGAGAAGGGGAAATTACTTTTATCTATATTTAGCTACCTACTTCAAGCATGACTATTTTTAAGTTATACAGACCACCAACCTAATGAGTCCAAAGCAATCTTTATAGTAAACACAGCCCTGATTATGACATCTGAATATTATTATAGCTCAACGAATTAGGCATTCATTATAATTCTCTGGGCCTCCATGGTAGTAGCAAGGTGAGGTTGGAATATAGAAAGGCTAGAGGTTAAAGCTCTCAAAGTTGGTAAGCTCACAAAGTTCAGCACCTTTCTAAATGTATTAAACTGTTTTTACGAAGATACAAACTGTATCTAAAATTCATTTTGATTGCCTTTTATCATGTTTGAATATATCACTCTACGTTTGTGCAAATAAAGATGGAGTATATGTGACTTTCATAACTACCTTTTATAAAAAAAAAACACCTAGAATAAATC